CATTTGTGGGCTATGTCGAAAATACACTTGCACAGCAGTTTTCGAGTAGATGGATTGACCGAATTCCAAATCAAAGCACATCATCGGGTAGCCCATAGTCCGTAGTAACTTTCCTTAAAAACCGCTTTTCGATATGTGACCCCGTTTGACCTCGGCAGGTCAAAATGTGCAAGTAAACGACACTCAATACGTCGCAGCCCGGATTCAGCCCAGATTCGGGACACCTCCGATCAACCTAAAACTTGCACACAATGTAGGCCATGACATGCTTAATCCACAGTTACAGTCATTCGGTGGCACTCCCAGCCGTTTGACCTACAGAGGTCAGCAAAGGTCACGTGGCCCAAATTTGCACAGCAGATTGTGGCCCACCCAGTAGAGCTAGAGCGCTAAAAATGGCACCAATCGACTCGCCAGCATCTAATCTTACTTTCCCAACACTCACTTGACCTCTCAAGGTCATGCGATGACCTAAGGTCATTTGTGGGCTATGTCGAAAATACACTTGCACAGCAGTTTTCGAGTCGATGGATTGACCGAATTCCAAATCAAAGCACATCATCGGGCAGCCCATAGGCCGTAGTAACTTTCCTTGAAAACCGCTTTTCGATATGTGACCCGAATCTGGGCTGAATCCGGGCTGCGACGTATTGAGTGTCGTTTATTTGCACATTTTGACCTGCCGAGGTCAAACGGGGTCACATATCGAAAAGCGGTTTTTAAGGAAAGTTACTTAGGCCTATGGGCTACCCGATGATGTGCTTTGATTTGGAATTCGGTCAATCTATCTACTCGAAAACTGCTGTGCAAGTGTATTTTCGACATAGCCCACAAATGACCTTAGGTCATCGCATGACCTTGAGAGGTCAAATGAGTGTTGGGAAAGTAAGATTAGATGCTGGCGAGTCGATTCGGGCCATTTTTAGCGCTTTAGCTCTACTGGGTGGGCCACAATCTGCTGTGCAAATTTGGGCCACGTGACCTTTGCTGACCTCTGTATGTCAAACGGCTGGGAGTGCCACCGAATGACTTGGACTGTGGATTGGGCATGTCATGGCCTACATTGTGTGCGAGTTGTAGCTTGATCGGAGGTGTCCCGAATCTGGGCTGAATCCGGGCTGCGACGTATTGAGTGTCGTTTATTTGCACATTTTGACCTGCCGAGGTCAAACGGGGTCACATAGCGAAAAGCGGTTTTTAAGGAAAGTTACTACGGCCTATGGGCTACCCGATGATGTGCTTTCGTTTGGAATTCGGTCAATCCATCTACTCGAAAACTGCTGTGCAAGTGTATTTTCGACATAGCCCACAAATGACCTTAGGTCATCGCATGACGTTGAGAGGTCAAATGAGTGTTGGGAAAGTAAGATTAGATGCTGGCGAGTCGATTGGTGCCATTTTTAGCGCTCTAGCTCTACTGGGTGGGCCACAATCTGCTGTGCAAATTTGGGCCACGTGACCTTTGCTGACCTCTGTAGGTCAAACGGCTGGGAGTGCCACCGAATGACTTGGACTGTGGATTGGGCATGTCATGGCCTACATTGTGTGCGAGTTTCAGCTTGATCGGAGGTGTCCCGAATCTGGGCTGAATCCGGGCTGCGACGTATTGAGTGTCGTTTATTTGCACATTTTGACCTGCCGAGGTCAAACGGGGTCACATATCGAAAAGCGGTTTTTAAGGAAAATTACTACGGCCTATGGGCTACCCGATGATGTGCTTTGATTTGGAATTCGGTCAATCCATCTACTCGAAAACTGCTGTGCAATTGTATTTTCGACATAGCCCACAAATGACCTTAGGTCATCGCATGACCTTGAGAGGTCAAATGAGTGTTGGGAAAGTAAGATTAGATGCTGTCGAGTCGATTGGGGCCATTTTTAGCGCTCTAGCTCTACTGGGTGGGCCACAATCTGCTGTGCAAATTTGGGCCACGTGACCTTTTCTGACCTCTGTAGGTCAAACGGCTGGGAGTGCCACCGAATGACTTGGACTGTGGATTGGGCATGTCATGGCCTACATTGTGTGCGAGTTTCAGCTTAATCGGAGGTGTCCCGAATCTGGGCTGAATCCGGGCTGCGACGTATTGAGTGTCGTTTATTTGCACATTTTGACCTGCCGAGGTCAAACGGGGTCACATATCGAAAAGCGGTTTTTAAGGAAAGTTACTACGGCCTATGGGCTACCCGCTGATGTGCTTTGATTTGGAATTTGGTCAATCCATCTACTCGAAAACTGCTGTGCAAGTGTATTTTCGACATAGCCTACAAATGACCTTAGGTCATCGCATGACCTTGAGAGGTCAAATAAGTGTTAGGAAAGTAAGATTAGATGCTGGCGAGTCGATTGGTGCCATTTTTAGCGCTCTAGCTCTACTGGGTAAGCCACAATCTGCTGTGCAAATTTGGGCCACATGACCTTTGCTGACCTCTGTAGGTCAAACGGCTGAGAGTGCCACCGAATGACTTGGACTGTGGATTAGGCATGTCATGGCCTACATTGTGTTCGAGTTTCAGCTTGATCGCAGGTGTCCCGAATCTGGAGTGAATCCGGGCTGCGACATATTGAGTGTCGTTTATTTGCACATTTTGACCTGCCGAGGTCAAACGGGGTCACATAGCGAAAAGCGGTTTTTAAGGAAAGTTACTACGGCCTATGGGCTACCCGATGATGTGCTTTGGTTTGGAATTCGGTCAATCCATCTACTCGAAAACTGCTGTGCAAGTGTATTTTCGACATAGCCCACAAATGACCTTAGGTCATCGCATGACCTTGAGAGGTCAAATAAGTGTTGGGAAAGTAAGATTAGATGCTGGCGAGTCGATTGGTGCCATTTTTAGCGCTCTAGCTCTACTGGGTAAGCCACAATCTGCTGTGCAAATTTGGGCCACGTGACCTTTGCTGACCTCTGTAGGTCAAACGGCTGAGAGTGCCACCGAATGACTTGGACTGTGGATTGGGCATGTCATGGCCTACATTGTGTGCGAGGTTCAGCTTGATCGGAGGTGTCCCGAATCTGGGCTGATTCCGGGCTGCGACGTATTGAGTGTCGTTTATTTGCACATTTTGACCTGCCGAGGTCAAACGGGGTCACATATCGAAAAGCGGTTTTTAAGGAAATTTACTACGGCCTATGAGCTACCCGATGATGTGCTTTGATTTGGAATTCGGTCAATCCATCTACTCGAAAACTGCTGTGCAATTGTATTTTCGACATAGCCCACAAATGACCTTAGGTCATCGCATGACCTTGAGAGGTCAAATGAGTGTTGGGAAAGTAAGATTAGATGCTGTCGAGTCGATTGGGGCCATTTTTAGCGCTCTAGCTCTACTGGGTGGGCCACAATCTGCTGTGCAAATTTGGGCCACGTGACTTTTGCTGACCTCTGTAGGTCAAACGGCTGGGAGTGCCACCGAATGACTTGGACTGTGGATTGGGCATGTCATGGCCTACATTGTGTGCGAGTTTCAGCTTGATCGCAGGTGTCCCGAATCTGGGCTGAATCCGGGCTGTGACGTATTGAGTGTCGTTTATTTGCACATTTTGACCTGCCGAGGTCAAACGGGGTCACATATCGAAAAGCGGTTTTTAAGGAAAGTTACTACGGCCTATGGGCTACCCGCTGATGTGCTTTGATTTGGAATTCGGTCAATCCATCTACTCGAAAACTGCTGTGCAAGTGTATTTTCGACATAGCCCACAAATGACCTTTGGTCATCGCATGACCTTGAGAGGTCAAATGAGTGGTTGGAAAGTAAGATTAGATGCTGGCGAGTCGATTGGTGCCATTTTTAGCGCTCTACCTCTACTGGGTGGGCCACAATCTGCTGTGCAAATTTGGGCCACGTGACCTTTGCTGACCTCTGTAGGTCAAACGGCTGGGAGTGCCACCGAATGACTTTAACTGTGGATTGGGCATGTCATGGCCTACATTGTGTGCGAGTTTCAGCTTGATCAGAGCTGTCCCGAATCTGGGCTGAATCCGGGCTGAATCTGGGCTGAATATGGGCTGTCTTGATCAACATCACAGAAGACTCCTTTTCAAAGAGCACGATTGGATACGTTTCATTTGCATAACCCGACGGCATATGCAAAGTTTCCTCTGGCTGTCCCTAGATGGCACTAGTGGTAAACGCCTGAAACTACGCTGTGCCGCAGTACATCCGAATAACGATAACACCCGCGTTGAAGTCGCCAAACATGGGATTAGGCATTTCTTCACAGTCAATCGATATAAAGTGGCCGTAAACGTCTCAGCAACCCCTCGGAGACGATAACTTCAGTGCAAATGACTCTAGAATAGCAATAATACGATCAACAGTCGAGGTCGCCGGCCGACCGATGCTGCGACATTACATCATACACGTTACACATTCGGGTAACCGATTCAGCCGTGTGTAACATAGCCACACCGTCAACAGATGCGGCTCTCAGGCGTCAAAACAGGCTGGTCATGGTACTGAGTGCCGACAGTCAGCCCAGCGGCCACCGATAGCCAGGAGAGGAATTACGGGCACCGCACATCTGGCGCCGGTGTCGATACAGACTTTCACTAGCGGGAGATGTGATCCGCCAGAGGTTGCATGAGCTGAACCGCTGAACGTTACAAGCAAGTAGTGCAGGAATGTTGGCCATGGTGCCTTCAGTAAATGGATATCCTCGTTCTTAAAGAAGCTTATTATTTAACTTAAATGAATAAAATAAACTAAATTAATTTAAATTATATTAACTTTCATATTTTTCTATTCCAAACTATACTAGCTAGACCAAAAGTCAAATACGTAGTTCCACCCTGGTTCCGTCTCCCTGTCCACCGTCTATCGCAATGCACCCTCATCTCTCCCTGTCAGCCCGCCGGCCTCATCCTGCTGCAGAGAGGTGCCGTGTGCCGGGGCGGCGGCAGAAGTGATTGGACTCGCGTGCCGCCGCTCCGCTGCCCCGGCCGGCGCCGTCGCTCAGTCCAATCGCCTCTGACGCCGTCCCGCCGGCCTCTCTTGCAGGATGAGGCCGCTTCTCCCGGCCCCGCCGCCGCCGCTGCTGCTACTGGTGCTGCTCGCTCCGCTGCTGACCTGCGCCGCGGCTCAGGGTGGCTACATCCCGCCTGCTCAGAGCCCGACTACGAACGGAGGCGGCCAGTGCGCCCCGGCCGGAACCCGGACACAGTACAGAACCGAGTTCGTGACCGAGACCCAGTACCAGCAGGTGACCGTGCCGGTGGTGCAGCTGGTCACCAGGACACAGATCATCACTCGTCCGGTCCTCTCAGAAGTAGTGCGCACCTCCCTGGTGCTCAGCACGGCTGTGATACCTCGTGAGGTGCTGCGTACTACCCTACTGGTGCAGCTCGTCACCAGGACACAGACGGTGCCGGGCGCCCGCCGCCGCGTCACCAGCACCACACAGCGCCTAGTGGTGCGCACACAGCTGCTGCAGCGGCTCCGCACTGTTGAAACCACCCTGGTGCGGCCGACGACCATCCTACGAACGGCGGTAGCCACCAGCGTACAACTGGTGTCAGTGGATGTTCCGCGTGTCCAGGTGGTGACCCAGCGTCAGCAGGTGGCCGGACCGGTGGTGACGCTGACGCAGACACAGCAGCGGCTGCGCACCAGGCTGGTGACACAGTCAGCGGCACCGGTGGTGAGCACACTGGTGGTGCAGGATCAGCGCATCATCACCAGTCAGGTGGTCGTCCCGGGCGCGGTGCGCACCTCCACACAACTGGTACCTTCCACGCAGGTGATCCCGGTGCAGTCTGTGGTGCAGGTGCCTCAGGTGGACACAGTCCAGGTGACCGCCACCCGTCAGTTCGAACGCACCCTCTCCCAGACCTTCACATTGCGTCAGACGGTGGTGCAGGAGGCAGTGAGCACGCGCCTGGTGCCCTCGGAGGTGGTGCAGACACGGGTGGTGCCCGTGACGCGCACCCAGCAGCAGCTGAACACGCGACTGGTGACGGTGCAGCAGCCGGCCGCTCCAGTGACAAGAACCTCGCTCAGCACCCAACTGCAGCTGGTGACGGCGCCCGGGCGGACTGTGGCCGTGACACGCACACAGCTGGTGCAGCAGCTGGTGACACGGGAGGTGGTGCAGACGCAGGTGGTGCCGCAGGTGGTGCAACGGACAGTCACGGTCACCCAGCCCTGCCAGACCGGCGGAGGAATCGACATCAGGGGCGGCGGACAGGCGCTCAGACCTGGTCTGGGCGGCGGAGCTATTAGAGGAGGTGGTATTATTGGAGGCGGAAGAGGCGTCATTGGAGGCGGTATCGTAGGAGGTGGCGGAGGATATGGAACGGTGGCAGCAGCTGCGACGAGCGGTGGTGCCGGCAACCACAATTATGGATGAAATTATTTTGGCTCGCTGCTCGCTGCGCTTATCGCACACGTTTCGAAGTGAGCGATCTTAAAGGAAGCTCGTAGGTGCCTTTTATTACGGAGCGAGCGAAGCGAGCGTAGTCTTTCCTTAGATTAACGGAAATTTCTGAGTATGAGCGGCCGGCCGGCCGGCCGGCCGGCCGGCCGTGGTCACGCTTTTGCGAGGCTTATATCTCAGCAACCACTTGACCGATTTACACGCGGTAATTTTTGTAGGGTAGCTTCATTCCTTCTACCAAGTATTGGACTATTCCCGATGCATGTGGGTGACCCCTTATGCACGTGCCACGTGCAAAACGAAGAGGTGTCACTTTTGTAATTGTTGCAATATCTCGGTAACTACTTGGCCGATTGCGCTGAAAGTTGGCATGTAGGTAGGCACCCACTAGGCACTGCATATACATGTGCCAGAGTTGGGGTGCTGCTGCACGTGCGCACGTGCAGGGGTCGTTTCCAGATCTCGAGAACGGCTGGACCGATTGCGCTCAAATTTGGTACACGGTTAGGGACCGGTTAGTAGGGTGCCGTGCACAAGTCAGTTGGGACCCATTTTGCACGTGCGCACGTGCAGGGTGCCGCTTCCAGATCTCGAGAACGGCTGGGCCGATTGTGCCCAAATTTGGCACATCGCTAGAGACCAGTTAGTAGGGTGCCGTGCACAAGTCAGCTGGAGGTACCCCCTCGCAATTTCGCACGTGCAAGGCCCACCCTCTCGCTCGCTCCGTTAGTCGCCCCAAAAGGCGTTATACTGGTTTAATTAATTATGGATGCATCTGTGCGAACAAATGCAGTTCAGTGAAATGTCAGAATGTTTTAAAAGCGAAGACTGACGATATGTTCGTGTGCAATAATTATAAGCGGCGTCGTATTCGAAACAATGAGCATGCTTATCACGATGAACGATAGTTCATCGTTTGCAGGAAAGCATCGATGCGGGAAAGGACAGTGAACCCCGGAGACAGCGTGAATACTCGTCACAGTTTGTCCTTCTTAGTATTCATACCTACATTCTTCTTTACGAGTCAATTATAAATAAACTCATTTATGGAACGGTTATTTTTATGTGCATTGTGTAACCAACCAGCCTAATGAGTAATGACACTATGGATGAATGCCTTGCAAGACAAGACGGGACGAATTGGGCACTTAACCCGGCAGTTGCTGGGGTATTTCGCCACCCACCGTTTGCTGGGGGGGGGGGGGGGGGCGTTAAACGCCCCCAGCCGATAACTCGAGAACCAAAAGGCGCAGCGAAACGCACGAGGCGGCAAACGAAAGAGCGCGACGAGACGCTTCAGATGAATACTTTAAATTTGAATTTTGAGGTCACAGGTCGGGTCAAGGTCAGGTCAAACACCTGAAATCGGGCTTTCAGTAGCATGGACTTCAGGACTTCGCAATGGGCGCCTCTCGCCATAAACTCTGTCAAAACGGTGCACAATCCATCTTATAAGGCCTACAAGAGTGTCAGCTCCATATAGGGGTCAGTCAAGCATAGGTCAGGGTCAAGGTCAGGTCAACCGGGTAGGCACATATCCCCGAAAATCAAAACTGATATTCGCAGCCTGTGACACATGTTTTAGAGGTAATTTGAGGCGTAGAACACGATGGTGACATTCATTTTATCATATGTGTACGTGTTTGACTCAAAAAGTTCAATTTAAGAAATTCATGTATCATGGTCGTAAAGTAGTCACGAAAAATTGCGAAGATTGAGTTCAAGATTTTGGAAAATGCGGAACGATAATCAATAATCGAAGATAGCCATTTGATTGATCATGGTATTGGCAGTCTAATGGCGTTTACGGCATGTCTGTATGTCTATTCTGTGATTTTATATGATTTTTTGAACATATGCCGTTTTTGGTCGAAAACTCAGAAATCATGACGTCACTAAAACCTCGATATCTCAAAAATTTTCCGACCGATTTTTTTGAAACTTTGTCACAATAAAGTTCAATCAATTCCCTACAGGTACCTAAAATTTGGCGCGCCTGCGGCGCGCCGTTTTTATGCTATGGCCCGGCGAAAAAAGTGGGGGCGTTTAACGCCCCCCCCCCCAGCAACTCGCGGGTTAAAGAGGTCAACACCCATGGTTACACCCAGTAAGTGCATTCAGAACCATTCGACGTTCATGTATTATCCCATTTGTATGTGCTATTTTGCTTTTGGTACATCATCCGTCTCCCGTTTTTCACCCGTCTCCCATGTAAGGTCCCCCGTCTATTTTCTATAAAAAAAAACAGTCAATGCATCATTGACCAGTTTACTATAAACAGGGAAGTTTGGGAATGTTAGCGGAAATGGGCAATGTGAACTTCAGTGTGTGGCTTGAGGTGTTTTCCCTCCTTGGTGAACTCTGTGTAGTTTGACTCGCTTAGCCTCCCCACTGTCCGCCACAGGATGAGGGTCTTCACGTCACTGCCTCTGCTGTTGGCGGCGGCCCAGGCCCGACCTCAGCAAAACTACCCCAGCTACAACACCCAGAATAATCAGCAGCAATTCGCCCAGAACAACCAGCAATTCATCCAAAACTCCCAGCAGCAATTCGTCCAGAACTCCCAGCAGTTCACTTCAAACACCCAGAGCGGTCTGGACGCCGTCAGCCTCTTCACGGGCACCGCGAACGGCATCAGCAACAGCGGCGGCTTCACCAGCGTGTTCAGCTCTCCGTCAGCAACAGACACGGGCTCTGACTTCACCGCCGACACCCTGCTCTCCGTGGCAGCGCTGTCCAACTCTGGCAGACCGACCAACGCCTACTCTAACGGTGGTGTGACCCAGGACGCAGGCACCTCCAACTCGGGGTTTATCGAAGGTGGAGTGAGTGGCGTGGTTTCTGATAATGGGTTTATAAACGGAGGTTTTACAGACGGTGGTGTTGTATTCAGCAATGCTGGGAATGTCCAGTCTACTGGCAGCTTCTCCGGCAGCTCTGGATTCTCCGGCGGAGGCCTGTCCCACGCAGGCACCTTTATCGTCAACTCCGGATCTAACGTCGTATCGGGCGGCTCAGGCGGCTGTGCGGCGGATCAGACCGTCACCGTCAGTCAGCGTCAGACTGTGGTGCAACAGGTGGTGAACACAGTGAACGCTCCGCAGCTGCAGACACAGACCGTCACCAGCACAGCAGTGGTGCCGCAGCTGGTGACACGCACTGCACTCCGCACCAGCGTGGTGACGCGCACCGCTCTGGTGACACGGCTCCTCACCCAGACGCAACTTCAAACAGTCGTCACCACGGTTCGTCTGAGAGATGTCATCGACACTGTGACTGAGACTCAGCCGGTGACGCAGACGATAACCCGCGAGAGCACACGGACGGTGCTGGTGACGCGTCAGCTGGTGAGCACGGTGGTGCAGACGATCACCAGCACCAGGCTGGTGCAGAGCACGGTACCGGTGCCGCGGCTGGTGGTGCAGACTAGCGTGGTGTTGGTGACGGCTCCAGCACAGACGCGGGTCACCACTGTGGTGCAGGACCGCGAAATCACCAGCGTGGTGCAGCAGCAGCCGCAGACCATCGTCCGCACCAGTACCAATGTCCAGGTGAGAGGGAGGGAGAGAGAGAGAGAGAGAGAGAGAGAGAGAGAGAGAGAGAGAGAGAGAGAGAGAGAGAGAGAGAGAGAGAGAGAGAGAGAGAGAGAGAGAGAGAGAGAGAGAGAGAGAGAGAAGAGAGAGAGGCGATGGCATCACCTCGACACATGGCACACAAATCACAGGTAACTCATACCACTTCAGAAAGGTCACTCACGAAACCATTAGCAGCAGTCTGCGCACACATGTCGGCCAAATCGTGTCTCCCGCTCGTACGGGCAGCCATGGCCGAGCCTTTCAAGAGGGGAGGGGTAGCTCACGTGAGCGTGCGGGTCACTTGCAATCGACGGGGCACCCTGATTCGCAACACTCTGTGGCAGGAGGCAGCACGCACGTAGCACATGGCACGGGGTAAAAACTCTGGCGTGACTCCGCCAACAATTAACGAGAGTAAGAGTGGGTGCAGTCACGTCACGGGGAGGTCGAGACTCGAGACGTCTTGGCATACGGGTCGGCCGCCGAAAAACAGTTGTGACCTTGACGTGTTGATGGACCGGGGAATCGATGGAAAGAAAGCGATTCCCCGATCCGATGACGATTAGGCATAAGCTTTCAGAATACACAACTGAATCACACTCATCTATGCTAAAATAGCAATGCAAAAAGAGGCGTTCGACTACGCAAACACTCAACGACTATACGCATGTGTGCATTCCAATTTACATAAAACGCTTGGGTCACGGGTGAGGGCCTGTCACAGGCAGGTTACTGAGTGATTGGGGAGCCAAGCTCGGATACCCAAATGGGAGGGGACAGCCGTCACTCATGTTTATCGGAGAAATCACCCAGAACTCCGTAACCCAGTAGCAGTGAAGCAAAAACGACATCCATCAACACACAGTGCCAGTAGCCTGACTTTGTCCCACGGCCCCTCTCAGTTTTTATGAAACATGATGGCATGTCCTTATCTGCCTGTAAAGATGCAGATATGTTGACTGTTGTAAAAGCTCCGTCTTTGATAGCATGCATAATGGAAGTGTTTTTCTTGTCGTATCTAGGACCGGGGCTGGCTACTGGGGCCAGTTCTCCACGTGTGTGGCATACGCTGTATAGTGTAGCCCAATATGACCGACCCGACCTGTGCCCACAGACGCGGGTTGTGACCCAGCCAGTGCGGCAGCCTGACCAGGTGGTGACCGTCACCAGCGTGCAGGTGGTGCCCGTCACCAGTGTGGTGATCTCCACACAACTGGTGCCGCAACTGGTGACCATTACAAGTACCACTGACAACACACTAACTCGTACAGTGTCCAGCACCACAGTGGTGCAGGTGCCACGGGTCACTACTCGCACCGAACTGCGCACCAGCGTCACCACCCGGCTGGTGACACAAACACAACAGGTGGTGCAAACAGTCGCCCGAGATGTGTTCAGTACGGTAGTGGTGCCAGCGCAGGCGCAGACTGTTGTGGTGACACGGACGGTTTTGGTGACCAGCACAGTACGGGGTGGCGACAGGACGGTGACACAAGTGGTGACGGTCGCCCAGCCGAGAGAGATCACCACCACCCGGCTGGTGCAGAGCGTGGTGCCGAGGGAGGTGGTAGTTACACAGACTGTGAAAGGCTACTGCGGCGGCGGTGGGGGCGGAGGGGGAGGGTACGGGAGCAGCGGTGGCGGCGGGGCAGCCGGGGCCGCTGGATATCCGGCGTACAGGTCAGGGTAACCGCTGGTCAGCGGCTGCATGTAATCGTACGGCGACAGCATCAGTGATTTACGGTGGAGTAGAGACGATGTACTTAGAGACGAAGAGCAATGGGACTGACGAAAATAATTATGCAATAACTAAATATTTGTTTAATTTATGTTCTTTTTTATTCTCTCTGTCATCTTTATTAATACAATTTTATAACCACCTTAGTACTAATCATTATTATCAGATTTCGGGAAATTATAGGACAAAATTTCGAGTTTCAAAGGTCCCAAGGTCAAAGGTCTCAGAGGTCTGCTCAAGTGCTCAGGCCAGGTCGGAGGGCTGGGGCGGCCCACCCTCCATAGTATCGCACTCACAGCACGTGCCGTCCAGTCCCTCGATCAGACACACTCCCTCCGGCGGGAAGCGCAGCTATGTGGTGACCCTCCGGCCCGGCACCAGAGTCCAGCCGCGCGCCGCTGTCACGCCGCATCTGTAACAGACGCCGGTTAGGAAACTGGGGATGAGTACGGGGCCGAACGCCTTGCCCAACGGGGACAGAAGGCAGTTGGCGGCCTTGGCTAATGGTTAGTTCTCTGACGTTATAGATATTACGGTCAGGGACCTCGTGGTCATGACACGCTAGTGACATTTGACAATTAATCTCGGTGACTTATTACGTTATTATAAAACAATGTATTAAGCCATTCCATTCCTCGTTTAAATAATCACACTTACAAACTAGACATACGCTTTATGCGACGGTAAACATTATATGGTACCAAAACACTATCCTGAAATAATTATTCAATCTACTTCAAGAAGCGTTGGGAAACTAGTTTTTGTTATAGTTCTTACCTTTCGCTCACCGCTGACGGCTGAATCCTTCCTACGTTACACATGGCGAAGTAAGAAATGACTAGCAATCGCCCGTCAAGCCTTTTCCCATCGATCGAGATGGACGCTGGACAGCAATATCGCAAAATATCACGATGTATTCACAATCTGAGAATGAGCCACGAAACACTGTCCCGAACGCTCGCTATCTGATGGAAATTTATGGCAGTGGGACAAGGTGAGCCTTGGGGAAGCGACAGACAACGTACTGAGCTCTTAACACTTTGGACATTCAGCAGCCCTTGGCTTGGGCAATGGCGTGGGGTTCGAGAAAGGGCAGACAGCGAAACACGTATATACAACGAATCAACTGCTGCTCACCAGCCTGGAAACACTCGAATGTGTCACTCGTGTGACGTGTTTACGGCACTGCGACTCGCGGCTATCCCAGCCATCATCCTCACCGCTGTGGTCCCTCCACTGACGCACACCAATGCCATCATCGGCTGCCTCTCTTCTTCTGCATCAACATGAACACCACATCCCACACCGCCACACGCCCCCCTTCAGGCGGCCTCACAGTCCATATCCTCTCTCTCCACACCCTCATAGATAGCGCGCAGCAGGAAGGTGAAGCTCGGGTCAGCCGCCAGCTCCTCGAGCGGCGGCGCGGCCAGCAGCTGCTCCAGCGGGGGCAGCAGCTCGGCCGGCCGGCGGCCCGTCATGGCCAGACCGCGCACGGTGCGCACAAACAGGGTGTGCTGCGCCGACTCCAGCGGCCGCTCGGTGCGCAGCCCGCTCCAGTCGTCACGCAGTACGGCGCGGCTCCAGATCTCCAGGCGCAGCTCGGCGCGTTCCTCGTCGCCTCCCCCCAGCTCGGCAGAGCCGGCCAGCTCCAGGGCGCGCTCAAAGTCGAACTCGTTGGCGTCCACGTTCTCCGGTGAGACGTATAGGAGGATCAGCTCGCGGGCAGAGAGCACGCGCATCGTCTCCGGGTCGATACCGTGCGCCTGGGGGTTGAGATGAAACGAGGGTGGGCACAGCGGACGAGATGGGCGGTGGACGGACTTAACGACATGTTCGTGGACCGTTTGGATCTTAGTTATAATACGTCAAAAAATGCTTGAAATGCCAACGCCAACGAACAAGAAAATTGAACAGGTTCATGTCCACTGTTTACCGAATCTCTCTCTCTCTCTCTCTCTCTCTCTCTCTCTCTCTCTCTCTCTCTCTCTCTCTCTCTCTCTCTCTCTCTCTCTCTCTCTCTCTCTCTCTCTCTCTCTCTCTCTCTCTCTCTCTCTCTCTCTCTCTCTCTCTCTCTCTCTCTCTCTCTCTCTCTCTCTCTCTCTCTCTCTCTCTCTCTCTCTCTCTCTCTCTCTCTCTCTCTCTCTCTCTCTCTCTCTCTCTCTCTCTCTCTCTCTCTCTCTCTCTCTCTCTCTCTCTCTCTCTCTCTCTCTCTCTCTCTCTCTCTCTCTCTCTCTCTCTCTCTCTCTCTCTCTCTCTCTCTCTCTCTCTCTCTCTCTCTCTCTCTCTCTCTCTCTCTCTCTCTCTCTCTCTCTCTCTCTCTCTCTCCTCTCTCTCTCTCTCTCTCTCTCTCTCTCTCTCTCTCTCTCTCTCTCTCTCCTCTCTCTCTCTCTCTCTCTCTCTCTCTCTCTCTCTCCTCTCTCTCTCTCTCTCTCTCTCTCTCTCTCTCTCTCTCTCTCTCTCTCTCTCTCTCTCTCTCTCTCTCTCTCTCTCTCTCTCTCTCTCTCTCTCTCTCTCTCTCTCTCTCTCTCTCTCTCTCTCTCTCTCTCTCTCTCTCTCTCTCTCTCTCTCTCTCTCTCTCTCTCTCTCTCTCTCTCTCTCTCTCTCTCTCTCTCTCTCTCTCTCTCTCTCTCTCTCTCTCTCTCTCTCTCCCCTCCTGCTCCCATCCCTCACCTCCAGTACAGAGAGCGGCAGCTGCTCCTGAAGCTGCGTCAGCTCAAACTCGGGCTGCAGCCGCGCCAGTCTGCCCTCCAGCTCATTGCCCTGCCGGCCGGCCAGCGCACACAGCTTCGCCAGACTCAGATAGGTCTTCTTCCTGTGGTACGAGAACGACAGAAACGAGTGGGTGGGTGCTGGTCAAATAAGGACCCCACGCCATCCAGCGCCATAGCATTAACCGCACCACAAACCATCTCCATCCAATATTGATCGAGTAGCTGTGGCTCGGTACTTCGTTCCAAGCGTTGCAATAAAGCGCTCAAAGACGTGGAACATAATTAAAGACATGAATTCCAACGCGTTGTTCTTGAGCAAATCTGGCAAAACATTTTTCTTTGAGTGTTCCCTTCGCTTCTCACCGCGTCCTACCCCACCAGCTCCCGTGTGGCGACCTTGCGAGGTCCATTTCCACCGTCCACCCATCCGGCGGCTCACCTGGTGAGGAACTCCGTCTCCGACGTGGCACACTGCTCCAGTGTATCCCCCGCCTGTCCATACCGCCCGGCCTCCAGCTCATTCAGCCAGCGCAGGCCGCGGTACTCCTGTAGGAAGCCGGCGAGCTCGGCACGGCGACACTGGCTGAGCAGCTGTCCGCGCCGGCCCTGGTCCAGGTACCAGTTGAACAGGAAGTCGGCGAAACCCTGCCCACGGAGGACATATCAGTCAGCGGGGTCACCGGTACGGGTCGGCGGGCGACATATTAGTGAGCTGGGTCAATTATGGTACAGTCAAGTCATAGCGATAAATTACAAAATATAACGGTAAACAGAAACAGCATGGCGAGTGCAACCTGACTGGGACGCTAAAAACTATTTAGTTACGATAAGTTAGGTCTAGCCATGCGGATGAAGTTGTACGGTACAGATGCATTAACGCCGACGACCAGCGTCTCTCTCCCTCCTCTCTCCGTACCTTGTCGGCGAACTGTGTCAGGTACTTGTTACGCCGCTCGGTGCTGTTGGTCTTCTCACAGACCTCCACCAGGATACGGAAGTCGAGGTACTTCTCGGCCAGACTGGTGGCACGCTCGTACTCCTCAGCCTCCACTGAAACGGGACGGGCGGGAAATTTGGGGACTTACAGTGCAGACGGGGCAAACGGTAGTATGACCCCAGTCCCAACGCAATTGAAAATTGCAAATATCAAACCAGTTACAAACTTCCCTTCGCTGACCTAAATAAAAATCTAGAACAAAGGACCAAAAATAAATCTAATTTCAATATCGATTGTCTTGACACGATCAAAATTCATCATAGAAATCTTTTCACACTTCCGTAAACCATCCGCAACAGTCAACACCCTGCACTTCACCGCAGTCCAACACGCACTTCACCGCAGTCCATCACCGTTTCAGACATCATTATTCCTCTTCAATCCAAGTCCAGGCCCTCCATCCTACTCCACCCTAGTTCCCCTCCCCCCGCTGCTTACATAGCGGATGGATCAACTGGTAGCGGTCCTTTTCAAACTCCGCCTCCACCGCCGCATACCGCTCGACGCCGCGCAGACTCTCCAGCTGAACGGTGTAGCCGGAGAGCAGCAGGTCAGCCAGCTCCAGCAGCTGCCGGGTCGGGTCAGGTCAGATCAGGTCAGAATGGATGATGTACCCGGAAAGCAGCAGGTCAGCCAGCTCCAGCAGCTGCCGGGTCAGGTCAGGTCAGGTCAGGTCAGGTCAACTGAACGGTGTACCCGGAGAGCAGCAGGTCAGCCAGCTCCAGCAGCTGCCGGGTCAGGTCAGGTCAGTTGAGTGTAGCCGGAGAGCAGCAGGTCAGCCAGCTCCAGCAGCTGGCGGGTCAGGTCAGGTCAGTTGAGTGTAGCCGGAGAGCAGCAGGTCAGCCAGCTCCAGCAGCTGCCGGGTCGGGTCAGGTCAGATCAGGTCAGAATGGATGATGTACCCGGAAAGCAGCAGGTCAGCCAGCTCCAGCAGCTGCCGGGTCAGGTCAGGTCAGGTCAGGTCAGGTCAACTGAACGGTGTACCCGGAGAGCAGCAGGTCAGCCAGCTCCAGCAGCTGCCGGGTCAGGTCAGGTCAGTTGAGTGTAGCCGGAGAGCAGCAGGTCAGCCAGCTCCAGCAGCTGGCGGGTCAGGTCAGGTCAGTTGAGTGTAGCCGGAGAGCAGCAGGTCAGCCAGCTCCAGCAGCTAGCGGGTCAGGTCAGGTCAGGTCAGTGTAGCCGGACAGCAGCAGGTCAGTCAGCTCCAGCAGCTGGCGGGTCAGATCAGGTCAGTTGGGTGTAGCCCGACAGCGACAGGTCAGTCAGCTCCAGCAGCTGCCGGGTCAGGTTAGGTCAGTCGAGTGTACCCGGAGAGCAGCAGGTCAGCCAGCTCCAGCAGCTGGCGGGTTAGGTCAGGTCAGGTCAGGTCAGGTCAACTGAACGGCGTACCCGGAGAGCAGCAGGTCAGCCAGCTCCAGCAGCTACCGGGTCAGGTCAGGTCAGGTCAGTGTAGCCGGACAGCAGCAGGTCAGCCAGCTCCAGCAGCTGGCGGGTCAGGTCAGGTCAATGTAAGAATAGGGTGTTACACTTGCATTGTGAAACAAAACGTCTTCAAGTTTTTCACTTCGTCTCTCGTTCCCGATTCATATCAGTCATCGATAACCATGATAGCTCCACTGCCCCTTTGTTTATCCTTACCAACATTCTCCCTTCCTTTTCCAGCTATTTCCCTCATCCTGTCCAGCTTATAAAATACTGGTCCTGGTGAAGCCTGGCCTGTGTCTCCCCTGACCTGCTGGTAGAGGCTGGTCCGTGTCGCGCCCGTCTCCGTGTTGGGCAGCGCCTGTTTGAGTGTGATCTGGTACTGACGGTGAAGCAGCTCGCGGGCCGGACCGGCCGTGCCCCAGGGCTGCCGCTCGCGGCACTGCTGCTGCTGGGGCCACTCAGATCCCTCCTCCCCGGTGGTGGGGGTCTGTTCAGGGGTTAGGTCGGCCGCCGCCGCCGACACAGACGTCAGCATCCGCTGAGGGCGGAGGAAGAAGGCGCCCGTCATTACTGGTTAAGGTCGGTTGCCTTTTGGGGCAGCAGTCAAGGTCAATGGACAGTGAAGTCAGTGATCAACGAGGTCAGTGCTAACAGGGTGACTTGCTGGTGTATTCCCATAACTTAATATCAGAGGCCTCACTTATCTCGCCTTTGAATGGTTATTCGAGCAGCCAGACGCGACTGTGCGGCGCCCGGCCCGTTCCACTCACCACCAGTATGGTGTTTGTGTCCGAGGTCAGCTGCACCAGGTCGCGCGGCGGAGCGCCCGTGGCCAGCAGCTCCTCCTGGAGGCCGACCAGCGCACCGATAATATCGTCCACGGCCGACAGGTGGCGGAAGAAGACGTCCTGCGCCGTGAGCGGGTGCTGCGGCACCTCGCCGCGCTCCTCGACCACGCGGGTGACGGCGTCGTCGACCACCTGACCCAGTCTGGCGAGTGGCGGGTCACAGGTCAAACACAGGTCAAACATTACCACCTGATTCAGCCTGGCAGGTCGAAGGTCAAACACAGATCACAGAAAAGAGTCATCGAACAGTTGACCCAACCCAATGTCTCAAATAGTTCACATGCCATAAGCGCATTGTGCAGGTCAAACACAGGCCACAGAAAGACCAACGTCACGTCCAATGCCTGACGTCCTAGCCTAATGTCATAGACTGGTCACTTGATAGGCACGAAGCAAGGCGACGTCCACCATGAGTCACCTGCAGTACCAGTCCATACTAAGCCCCGTCAGCTATCGCCGTCCCCTACTCACTGTGCCGACTGGTTGGTGAGCGCCATGGCGGCCAGGATCTTCTCGTGGTGCTCACGCAGCACCTGAGTGGTGGCCACCGCCGAATCCTCGCGACTGATACCCGTCAGCTGCGGAGGGACAGACGTCAGCAGTTGTTTCAGACGGCAAGGAAAACAAGCGGCAGACGGCACTCACCACGAACAATCATGGCCCCGGTCTACCAGAGTTTAAACAATAATCATTAGTGAGAATGTCATTATGGTAAGCGCAGTAGCTCCTCAGACAACACATTGCGGTTTGTTTCTCCCGGCCTATCCGTCGTCGATCGCCCGACGAGTATACCCTTTCAGGACCCCCGAGTCCATTCTTCATTCAAAGAAGCAATCATCCGAACAACAATGGCAGTTGGCACCGACAGCAGCTCTAAAAAAAACTAAATGCACTGACGTCACCACCGTTGCAACAGATCCATCGCATTTCTCTCACCCGGTCCCAGAGTCCGACGGCCCGGAGGAAGGCCAGGTAGAGCTGGTGCGCCTCCCGCTTGTCGCCGAGCTGATTTAGCAGGATCAGAGAGTTGGTCGTCGACACGGTGGCATCTGTAAGACGGTGCAGAGCGAGACGGATGTCAACGCTTGGAGGAAATGATTGACACGGTAGTTAACGCTTACCGAGTGAGAGAGCAAACGCGTAGAACAAATAAATCTAGATAATTTGTGACTGCATTACATACTGCGTTCCTCCCAGATTTATTCCTGTAACACCATTCCAGAGTAACACAAAAAAGTGATTTTGCACGAAACCCACGCTTCGTCCCATCCCCATCCCTTTCCACTGTCATACCACCCTGCCACGCTGCAGTTTTACTGACCGTGCGGCATGGCCTCAGCCCAGCGCGGGTCGGACGCCGGGTAGTCGTTGATGACGTCCGCGCTCAGGTCGGCCACCGTTTTATCCAGCTGTGAGTCGAACCCGTCGGCCGACCGGCGCGGAAACAGCTCCTCCACCAATTCTGCGCAGCGCGTCTGGAGAGAGGGACGTGTCGTGGGGTCAGACAATCACAGGCTAGCGACCGAACTGCGCTGGGGTAATGAAGCGGCGGCTGCTCTTGGGCCATTGTAGTTTATTGGAGCGTTAGGGCGCGCCAACTACTGGGGTCATTTTGCGCCCATTGCTCTTGGGCCGGTGCAAAGTGGTAGCGAAACCAAAGCTGTGCTCGCTGCAATAGACGTTGTTTAGAATCGAGCAGCGGGCAGCTTAAAAAGAACTTAGATTATCACCAACAGTTCCTATAACCAACATCAGCTGAGCCCAGCATGAAATTACATCGTTGTTGCCAATTGCAAACGTTTCTGACCAAGGTTTCTGGGCTACCAAATCCATCAAACGCACATCGCACTGTTCGATCCCAGCTGTCCTTCTCCTGCCCTCATTAGTCAATCACTGCCCCTAATCTCTCCCCATTCCCACCACCCCTCACCAGCTCGTTCCGGCAGTAGAGGATGCAGGCGGCGCGGAGCCGCGCCTTGGGACCGCCCGAGGTCAGCTCATCCACGTCTGCCTGAGTCATGGACACGTTCAGAGACTGGTTCAGCCGGCTCTGGTCCATGGTCAACATCGAGCCGGGGACGCTGAAACGGGGAGGGGCGGAGGGTCACGTGTTATACAGCAGCCTCGCATGTAAGCGATTCCACTAAGAACGTATGATGTACCAACGAATGTACGCCAACATTTATCAAATGTATTTCAGATGGAGCGTAATTCTTATATTGCTTACGCGATAAAAATACGACTCAAACGAAACGCATTTTACAAAAGGTGTCATTAGACATTGCTAGAAAGCAAAAATGTCACACGGTAGCAAAATAAAACGATAATCTGTAAGACCGCTGATCTCTCTCAACATACGTGGTGCTGGTATCGGCGACGGTGGTGGCGCCGCAGGGGGCGCGCGCGTTCAGCCTCAGCAGGCCGTGGTGGCTGGTGAAGACCAGCGGGGCAGAGTCGGCGCCCAGACCCCATCCGAGCACCTGGTCGGACGGGGACGACAGACGCAGCGTCTCGGCCGGCTCTGAGGGACACGACACTGCCGAAGGGAGTGGCGGTCATTAGGAGATAGAGGACAGTGTTGTAACGGGAGGGCATCAATAGACAGGATGGATGGATAACTGACGGATGTCGACCGAACACAGTTACTGTCACATGTGTGAAAACGACACATCGCCGCTGATATCTCGCGGTTGACAAAGATTGAAGACACCGGGACACCGGTTAGCAAAGGTTGACGCAGACGATCTGACACCGGCCACACAATGTTTGCGTATATAATACAGCGCCGATCACTCACGGTTGACGCAGATGATCTGACGCCGCAGCTGGATGTAGGCCCGCTCGCCGGGGGGGGGGGGGGGGGAGGGGGCAGCAGGAGGTAACTCACGGTTGACGCAGAGGATCTGACGCCGCAGCTGGATGTAGGCCCGCTCGCCGGGGGCCAGCAGGCGGAGCTCAGTGCCGGCGCACTGTTCGACCGGCAGCGTGTACTGGACGACGTCGAACCGGGACCACTGGCGCGGCAGACGGTCCACGCTGTCCTCCAGCACACCTACGAACAAGGCACAGAGAGGGTGTGAAGACGATGTCGGGTCATCACCTCACAACTCATTTTGCGAAAGCCACTTATCACCGTGGCCATATTCATCGATTGAAGACTTCGAAAACGGAAAAAACCTGATCTGCCTACTCATCTGTGGCTAAAATAAGGTTGTCGCATACCTACATATCTGGATTTTGTATACCAGCAACCTAAGCTAAGAGCATCCCTTGCCAGCAGTACGGTACGGGGATAGGTATGGCTGAAAAACGTTGACAACTTGGGACAAACTCCGGAACTTCCGACCAGTCCCAGCCTAATCGGGCACGTTCGGGAAATCCCAACAAATTTCGGACTTGGCTAGTCAGTAGCTGCGACAATTTTGAGACTTCCAGTCCCGCACATCTCGATTAGTGTGGAAAACAGTTGGGCCGCGGGACTTTGCTGCTAGTCTGTCTAAAAAATGAGAGAAGTTTTCAATCGTTATCAATTCCAAATGATTTATCCATTTCTTGCAAAACTGCATGTATGACCCTGCCCTCTACCCTCCGATCGCGCAATTCCGGTTCTGTGGCAGAATTTGGAGTCCAAAGTTTAACGTGCGCACATAGCCGCGCACGGCCGGTCCCCTCGCTGACTTCGCCTGGCTACGGCCTGCCACCAACCGCAACCATGCCCGTCAGGAGCCAGGAGGCCCATAAATGTCAAGCACCCGTCGCGCTTCGAGCCCGGACTGATAAAACCAGGAACACTTGCTCTCACCATGCGAAGTCCCACGCTCTGCCCTACCGACTGAGCTACGGGACCGGCAATATAATTGTTTCAATATAATTGTTTTTTCAATTATATTTTCAATATAATTGTTATAATTGTTTTAAAGCTCATCTAATTCTAATAAGTGTTTCGTTTCAGCAATTAGCATATACGTGATACGACATCTTCCAGCCCTATGTTTCGGTCAAATAACAATAGCTAGAGAATTTAGCTGAACTATAGTATCTAGGGACTTTTTTGAAATTTCTCCGTATTACGAGCGCTTCCATTCAATTTCGTAGCATCTGCGCAACAATCGCAACACAACACTTATTTGCTTTGTGGATTGCACAGGTTGGTGCGTTTTTCTAATATTTGTGTTAAAGTGTGCTCAGATCAGTTTATTGTATTTTCAGGAAGAATATACGATTGAAAAGAACAAGTGAGTTAGTTACTTATCCTGTATCTTTTCATCATAAATGGATGGAAATATTCCACCACAAATACCAAGCTTTTCATTTTGTAATTTTCATGTATTCAAATTTTGTTCTGCATGTTTTTCAAAGTCCATGAAGTTAAATTAATCAATTTAAACAACACTTGACACTTTGATCAACTATTCTTTTTGCCTGTTATGGGCTAAAAATGTTCTGTATTATCAATGTGTTTGTGTTCAGACAGGAGTAGAACAATGTTTTCATGAATAAGTCATGATATACCATTCCTCACAGGAAAACAGTTGCCTGAACTTATAGACTGTTTTATCAACATTTCATACCGACTGAGTGACAGCTTGTCTGGTGGCCCTGCCCGTATCAAAACCCAGAGGCGGATCCAGCTCAGAGGTTTGGGGGGGGGGGGCAAACCATAAAAATTTATCGATTCTTTCCATGCATCGTCCATAGGCGCAATGTTAAAATCATGCCGTTTGGGGGGGGGGCAAATGCCCATTTTGCCCCCCTGGATCCGCCACTGTCAAAACCAGATACATTAAATTGCATTAGTAATAATGGCACATCCTAATGTCTCAGTCAACTATTACCTTGTAAGAGGCAGAACATCATTTTCTAGTTGACTGTAACTACCCTGATATACACATCAGATGGTTTGGCAACTATTTTAATTGTTGAGCATAATTTAGGAAGTGCCAAACATCAACTTTGGTCCTATCGCAGTTTTGGGTGTGTACCTAATTCAATCAGCATGCTGTTGGTTGGCACTCCGTTAAATGGAAATTACATACTGAGGTTTCTGTCTCATTTATGAACAGCACAGTTCATATGCTTTTCACTAAATAGGAAAAATGCCAACAATTTGGCAGTGGTGATAATTAAACATCCACTAACAATGTTTCAGTCACATGTTAGGTACATCTGAAAAAAATACTTCCATTGCATCCCATAATTTTGTTGACCCATATTTTTTGTAATTTTGTTAGTTCATGGCATATCTCAAACAGTGCTCAGCTAGAGTTTTAAAAGTTTAAGCTGTCATAACTGCAATGAAAATGAAACTTCCACCACAAAGAAATATCTTACCAAATACCATGGTTGAGATAACACTCATCTTTTACCTCATCCATGATCGAACCCAGTGCAAGATACTTCTACACAAAATTTTAAGAGGGAGAGATGTTTTCTGGACCTTTTACAAATGCATCAGTTCACTATTTCTATCTTGGAGACTTTCAATCATGGTATTTATTGCAGCCTCTGATATGCGGTTCGATGATGGCCTCTAAAAATGCTTTTGTCGCCCACAGTCCCCATCATGGCTACCAACCACCGAGAGGCCATTCAAATGCAGATCCAGCAGGACTGGGCCAACCGCGAGTACATCGAGGTCATCACCAACAGCATCAAGAAGACGGCCGAGTTCCTCAACTCGTTCGACCTCAGCTGCAAGTCGCGGCTGGCCATCCTCAACGAGAAGCTGACCAAGCTGGAGCGGAAGATAGACTATCTGGAGGCGCGCGTGACCAAGGGAGAAACGCTCAACTAGTGGTGACTGTAGTGTGGGACTCACGGTGATTAGAACACTGAGACACACTGGAAACTCGCGTCGCGCGTGGTGTCTGAACATGGTGCGGTCCCATGGAACGTCCACTGAAGTAGTCGTCTCTGGCAGACTTCTGTACGGCCCGGAACGACTGAACTATCAGAGTACCTGCTGCTAGTGGCTGAACCCGAGTGAATATTAGTTTTCCAAGCGCAATTGGGTACAATTGCGCTTGGAAAACAATGACGTGCTACTTGCCGGATGCATTTATCGCAGCCCCTCAGGCGACCCCCATCGAAGTGTTGATGATTTGTCTTGCTTACTCCAAAATGCGATTTCTCTCAAGCACACTCACCTGCTCATTGTTGGGGATTTTAACATTCCTCAGATTGACTGGGAAAACAACTTTTGCAGCGCATCTGAAGCACATTTTGCCAACAAGTTTTTGTCTGCCGTTCAGGATGCATTCCTGTTCCAGCATGTCACCAAGCCTACCAGATTTAGAGAGGGTTGTAGGCCTAGTATACTGGATTTGGTGTTTACAAATGATGAGAATATGATAACAAAGATCAAATATTGTCCTGGACTAGGAAGGAGTGATCATGTGCTACTGAAATGCGATATTGCCTGTTACAACAAAAAATGTTCTTCTGCCGGCTTGAAATGGAATTTTCACCGCGCTGACTTCACGGCCTTGCGTGTAAAACTACATGCAGTTGACTGGAGCTGTTTGTCAACCATGAGTGTAGACGCGGGTTACAAGTGGTTTAGGAGCAAACTTGAATCGCTGATGAGTGAGTGCATACCCAAAGCAAGGAGCGTCAAGTCTAAAAAGAACGTTTACATGAATAGCCGTTCACTAAACCTCAAGAAGAAGAAGAAGGTACTGTGGTCAGTGTACATGAGAACGCAAGACCCGATCGACTATAGCAGATACAAGATTTGTAGAAATAAGCTTAGGACATTGACTCGCCAGTTAAGGAAAGATTTTGAAGCTAAGATATCAGCAAACATGAAAGTAAACCCGAAGGCTTTTTGGAAATATGTGAACAGCCGCCGTAAAGTTAAATCAAGTATTGGTGATCTAAGAAACGACCAGGGCCAGCTTGTTAGCGAGGAAAAAGAGAAGGCCTCGCTCCTGAATGACGTCTTCTCAGGCGCATTCACTATTGAAAAAACGGATGTCGTGCCACAACTAGCAAACCGTTACACAGGGCCGCCGCTGATCGATATACCAGTCAACCTTTTCACGGTGATGGAAAAGCTTAAAGCACTGAACCCCAATAGTGCCCCAGGAGCTGATGACATTCACCCCCGCGTTTTAAGGGAGTTGAGTGGTCCTCTCTCCCTTCCCTTGACATTACTGTTCCGAAAATCGCTTGAAACTGGGTCTATTCCTGCAGACTGGAAGCACGGTAAAGTCATACCCATCTTTAAGAAAGGTGAAAAGGAAGACCCAAGAAACTATAGACCTGTCAGCCTCACATCTGTTCCCTGTAAGATTCTTGAGTCGCTCATCCGTGATTGTTTAATGGACCATTTGCTGTCAAATGACCTGCTGTCCAAGGACCAACATGGCTTCCGCCCGAAGCGATCTTGTGACACGCAACTGCTTGACTCTATAGACTCATGGAGCCGCCTGTTGGAGGACAAGACGGAGGTCGAAGTGATTTACCTTGACTTCCGAAAGGCGTTCGACTCCGTCCCACACAAGAGACTGATAGGCAAGCTGCGCTGTTATGGTATTGGTGACCGAGTGTTGTCTTGGATTGAATCATTCCTGGAAGGCAGAATGCAGCAAGTGTCCCTATATGGAAACCTGTCAGACCTGGTCCCTGTGCGCAGTGGTGTGCCCCAAGGCTCAGTGTTGGGCCCATTGCTCTTCTTGCTTTATGTCAATGACTTGCCAGATGCTGTCACTTCAAATGTGCGAATGTTCGCGGATGACACAAAGCTGTTCTCAGGCATCTCTTCTGAACATGATGTACGGACATTGCAGGCAGACCTGAACGCCCTCGTGGAATGGTCTAGAACTTGGCAGCTGCCATTTAACGAGAATAAGTGCAAAGTGCTTCATGTTGGTGCAGCCAAGGACCGCCACTCATTTCAAATGGGGTCGGACAGACTGACAAACACGTCAGTCGAGAGAGACCTGGGTGTGCAGGTCGACTCAATCTTGAAGTTTCGACAGCAAGCGTCTACGGCGGTCTTCAAAGCGTCTCAAGTTCTTGCGGTCATCCGCCGGTCCTTCGCCTTTTTAGATGAATTTACCCTGCCTCTTCTTTTCAAATCTCTCGTGCGGCCTCACCTGGAGTTCAGCAGTCTTGTTTGGGGTCCGTTCAATAGAGCTGATCAGAAGGCAGTCGAAAGGGTCCAAAGAAGAGCCACCCGGTTAGTGGTGAGCATCCGCCACCTTCCATATCCTGAAAGGCTGAAGAGACTGAAGCTCCCGTCACTGTATTATCGGCGTAGACGCATGGATATGATTCACGCATACAAGATGCTGCACGGCCACGTTGATACTGATCCTTCAGAGCTTCTGGCAACGAATCCTGAAAGGCGAACTCGGGGTCACACACTTAAACTACGGAAGCCTCGTGCAACCTGTCGTGCCAGACTGAATTCATTTTCTGTACGGTGTATTAACGATTGGAACGGGCTTCCAGCAGAAATTGTACATTCGCCCTCAGTCAACGTCTTTAAGAACAGGCTGGATGCGCACTGGGAGTCGATCTGGTACTCCACTCCTGTAACAGACTGAGTACTAAGTGAAGTTATGGAAATCGGCGAGAACGGGCCCTACAGGACATCGTGCCTCTTGTCCCGATAACACGAAGATGAAGATGAAGATGAAGATGAATATCGATGCCCGCTCTTGAGCCATGTGCTTCTTGATATGTGGTGAAGTAAGGGATGACTGTATACTGTGTCCAAAGGACGTTAGCCAGCGCATTATTGAAACGGTCAAACCAAGGTGAAGCCATTATCTCCCGACCAGAGATTCTCGGTCGAGCGCTTCCAATGCCATTTCTGTTTTAATATTTACATCGACTGCAAAGAAGAAGGCCATACACTTGAAGAACTTTGTCGCTTAGTTAGTATAGAAGCAACAACCAGTCGACAAACTTTGCTTTATGCCGCATGCGACCGATCAATCCTCATGTTGCTTGTGTGGCCACCATGTACAAGATGTTTTGTTTTGTAAAGAAACAATGACGTAGACTACAATACATAGATACGTCAGCATGTCGTTGAAATTATCATGGGAGGATGATAATGAAATTTCATCTTGGGCTTTTACCTGACTATGAGTGTAATACTCAGTGAAATGGCCAGGTCTGCTAGCAGACCTTATGAGGTAATGTCTGCTTTAATAGGCCGGAAAGTGAGGTGATGATTTTGTGCACTGGCCCATTTCACGGTGTGCACAGGACACAATCGAATCATGGTGTCCTGTCGTAACACCTTAGCCTTTTCGCACAGTAACGTAAAAATCGCATCAGCTGTACCAGTAACTTTGCAAAAAGAAGTCCAGCAGAATAACGAATACGACCGTGCCGTGCTGTGTGGGGAAGAAGTACCGCTTTGGCACATCGCCTTACCTATGGCGAATACGGCCGTGCCGGGCTGAGTGGGACTCAGTGCGGTGGCCAGAACCACGATGCCGACGTTGGTCACCCACAGGTCCCGCAGGGTCACCTCCAGTTCCTCGCTGGCTGTGTCGGCACTCTGCGGAAACGAAAAGCTCATATCGATGAACAAATAGATGAACAGCAATAGCTTACATTCAATAGCTCTGGGGAGCTTTCAATATTCAGACATTACACACAAAACAAAACCTGCCGTTCCTTTACGGATTAACTCCGCGTGCCTCCGCGGCCTATTTGCTTACCCAGAGGTGCTGAACGAAAGCGTCACGCGCCAGCCGCTCCACGTCGAGCTGCGAGTCCATGTGCTCGGCGTCGGCCACCCACCAGCGCTGCAGGTGGCGCGCTGTCATCACGTACACCGTGTGACCGATACAGTCCGGCTCCTCCGGCGCCGCCGCTCGCAGTGAAACCAGCGGCTGGAGAGAGGGGGGCAGGGTATCAGATGGTGTGCGACATGGTCGCTAGTGAGAACCGATAGTTTGCTCATGAAAATGGCAATGCGTTCATAAATGATTTTCATACGAGAATGAAGGATGGAGAAATATTCAAATAGCATTTGTTATTCCTAGTTAAAAAAAGCACAATCTTGTGTCCAAGACTTGTGGTGTTCTCAATTTGTGGTGAATCAAGCATATTCAGCTGCACAGTTCCTCGTTATCAATGCAGTATGCAAGACCAATACAGGGTAACTATCTAACGCCGACGAAGCCCGCCCCAATCACCGTGGGTCCCCCTGCGCTCCCGTCCGTCTGTCCGTCTCCAGTCCTCACCTCCTCAGCTCCGGCGGTCTGCATGGCTCCCCAGATGAGCGAGGAGACGCGCCGGCCGATGCCGCCCAGCAGGCCGGCCGGCGGGGCCAGGCGACGGCAGCCCAGCGCGCCGCCCGGCCACGAGACAAGCACCAGCGTGGACGTGGTGGTGGCCAGCAGGCAGCTCGAGTCGCCCAGACAGATCAGACGCTCACACTCCTGGCCCTGGACACGCGGGGGGGGGGGCGTGGGGTCAAAAGTTGGCATCTTCGCATGTATGAAGCGTCACAGGACGCCCGCAACAAAGCACTGTCCGATTTTAGAGATCCGTCATAGTCCAGAGATTGGACCAATCTAATCCAACATCGTTGCGCGTGATTCGTTCACACTAACAGCGATTACTTGAACGCAAAATCCCACACTACCAAATCGTGTTCCTGAAGCATCCCCATTACCGTACCTGCAGGTCAGCGTTGCTTTCAGTGCTGGAGCTCTCATAGATGACGCTGGGCCAGAAGCGCAGCGTGCCCTCGGGGGACACTGCCAGACAACTGGGCACGTGCACCTCGGAGCCGCCGAGCACCTGGCGGCGCGCACAGGGAGCGGTCAGACAGTTACGAAGCATTACTGACTGCCGAACTAACGAGATTACTTTCGAAACGTTAGAAATTAGTGACATTGACGACTACCAACTGATGTACCAGGTGTAAAACTAAAAGCCCTTTCTGCATTCCCATGAAATTAGTCTCTAATTGTTGCAAGTATATGCCTAATATCAAAGAACGATTCAACGACCACTCCATCGTACCTACGTCAGAGTACGGAGTCCCTCCCGGGAGCCCGCCACACGCCCCTTTTGTAGCGACTTCGCACGGTGCAACAGGTCAATGTGTGACGAGCCGAGATCCCTCCCCGCTGTTGTAGAATCCGGCGGCGTCTTACCTGTACCAGCTCAGCGCGGTGCGCCAGGTCACTGGGCGGCAGGGTGAGCTCGCGACACAGCGCCAGGCGGCGAGAGGCCGCCTCCGAGCTGGACTGGGCATAGCGCCAGACGAACAGGCGGCGGCCGCACACCAGCCACGCCCAGCCGCGCTCCGACACCTGCACCGATACCTCGCCAGATCCTGGGGAAAGGATACAAGAGCTATGACACCTGGACTTATACATAACACCATGCGAACAGGAGTCAAAGATAACAGGCTGAAATGCATACCACATCTAATATGACTCACAGGAACACATGCATCTCAATCAACTGTGATAAAGCTGTGACAGCCACATTCTGTAAAATAGAACAGGGAATTTAAAAGCAGGCCAATGCTGTTATTTCTCCTGTTGATTGAAAGCAACATAATAACCTTTCATTCTGGCTATTTTTCAATATTCAGTAAAATTTCAACTTGTTTATACTCTTTTCAGTCATTGTAACACCCACATTTACTAGCATTAAAACTTACTCTCAGATGAAGACAGCACTTCAGTGACCAGCACTGGAAGGGGAGACCCCAATGACTCCAAAGAGTATTCTTGAGTCTCTTCAATGATCCTTGAAGTATGCAGACCAGCCCCAGGACTGTAACAGAGAAATGTTGAATGAAAAATGAGAGAATGAGAGAAATGAGAAATGAGAAATGTTGAATGAGAATGAGAGAAATGAGAAATGTAACAGGAAGTCATTGGGAGACCCCAATGACTCCAAAGAGTATTCTTGAGTCTCTTCAATGATCCTTGAAGTATGCAGACCAGCCCCTGGACTGTAACAGAGAAATGTTGAATGAAAAATGAGAGAATGAGAGAAATGAGAAATGAGAAATGTTGAGTGAGAATGAGAGAAATGAGAAATGTAACAGGAAGCTTCAAAGAAAAAATATGTTAAAATGAAAAACAATACAAAATAATTCACAAGAAAAATCTTCAACATCCAGGTTTAGATAGCTAAGGATAAAACACTGTAGAGCAAACATTGGTATTTTATGAGGTATCAATATATATGATGTTGCTGTAGTCTGATCCATGCCAAGCTTGCAGCCAAAGTGCCCTGCTGAAAGCAGGGGGTACTTTCTGTACATACAGCTTTTACACTCAGATACGCAAATTATTGAATGGAGGAACTAACTGCCGAAGGAACTCCAACCTCAACCTTGACATGGAACGGAATATAATTGCTGTATTAAGGTATTCACTGACATCTCAAGGTGCCATTTGGCACCAACATCTTTAAGTCACGTCCTACCTAAGGTAGGTAGGCACCTTAACAATATCTCTGCAGCAGGCAACTAGGTTGTGGGTGCAAACATGTTGAAATGCACCATAAATGCAGAATACTGAAAACAATCTTTACATTACAAGTAACAACCGTTTATTAGTGCAGTGTCGGAAAAATAATTACTGAATTAAACCTACCTTGCAGAAAATGATGAGCTGAGCAATCCACGTGATTTTATGGCAGATTTTGACTTAGTTGCAGACGTTCTCGGAGATCCTCTGGCAGAAAATGATTCCCGAGAAATTGCGTTGACTTGTGGAGTATACATCTTGCGAGCTTTCAATGGTGCTGTCAAGGAAATTCAAGGTGCAAATCAAGTTTCGAATTAACTGATCTGCTCTCAGTTATAGAAAATATATAACAATTCACCACACAATCCTAGCGTGTGAACGCAGGGTATATTGGTGAACGCGCCCGCGGAATTCGATAAATTCACTGTTTGAAGCAGCTGCGCATTATATGTAACAAATCAAAAGTTTTAATTGCACTTTCCGCTTTTCTACAATCAGGCAGCAAAATGAGATAAGCATTGCTCTAATAAATGCTATTTATTTTGTAATATTCAAAATGAACAAATCGGCAACTTACCTTGATTAGAATCATAATATCACGAAAAGCAATATTTTGCCGCAAATGCGTGCAGTCAACCAGAGCTGCAACTTTACGAAACCTTGCACCTTTACCAGAATCTTACCTTTACCATGCCTTTACCTTATCACTCTTACGCATCGGTAAGCTAACGGAGTGTGCTCGAAAAATGCACAGTGAGAAAAGAATATGTCGTTGTAAATTGTCGCTTTGAATTGAATATTTGCTCATTTTTATGCAGCTGGAAGATCACCCATGGGAAGGCCCCCACCTACGAAGCAGACCCTTCTCGGATGGATAATATATAGGGGAGAGCCCATTGCTGAGCTACTCACGCCATACGCGGAATTCTGAAAGGGCGAAGCCGAAGTTATAGCGCGAGGGAGGATCAGTTAAAAAAATAGTGATAGAAGAGGTAGCGTTAATGACGTAGACGAGTCGGGCATCAGCAAGGTTGTGTTTCGAGATGTGAACGCGTTTGGATTCCAATGTATGTGGGTTTATTGACACATCTGAAGCACAATACGATAACAAAATCACACCCTGAACAGACATGAACAGCATGGATGCAGTACAAACCTCAGCCAATCTGAACAATAACAATGCCCAAGTTGACTGACATAACTTATTACTTACGGAATTAAACAGTTAACAGTTATACCATCTGAGTTGCAAGCACAATAACTCAAACAGCATCATAAACGGGAAGCATCCTCGACAATGCCTCAATCCGATCGTTATTGCACAGAAGGCAACAACTGAAACCCGCTGAACATCCAATGCCGTGCGGTGTGCAGCCGGCAAACACTTCCCGATTTATCCAACTACAACGACATAATGACATTGTTAATGCAAAAGGGAGCTCGCTGAAAGCATCCATCTGGTCGCCAGCCAAGCCAACCATATTTGTGCCGTCAGCCGATAACTCAACGGTTGCAGCGCACATGCAACAAAATATTAATGTGCGTTACCCCAGTAACAGCCTCCCACCCCCGCGGATACAAACCCCTTCGACCGTCCTAGTCATGTGCCTTGTCATCCGTGTGGGTCCACGTGGGCTCCCGCTTCTCGATGAATCCCCTGATACCCTCCTGTCCGTCTTTGAGTGCGATGTTGTCCACCATCAGCCGACTACCGAGCCGGTAGGCCTCGTCGATCGGCAGCTCCAGCTGCTGGTAGAAGAACTTCTTCCCCAGCGCGATGACGCTCCTGCTCTTTCTGACGATGGCGGCGGCGATGTGGGCCGTCTCGTGCTGTAGCTGGTCGGGCTCCACCAGCCGGCTGACCAGGCCGACACGCAGCGCCTCCTCACCGCTCAGCGGTAGCCCGGTCAGCAGCAGGTGGGCCGCCAGCCGGCGCGGCAGCACGCGAGACACCGCGATGCCGGGCGTCGAGCAGAAGATGCCCACGTTGCCGCCCGGCGTGGAGAAGCTGGACCGCGGCGTGGCGATGACGATGTCGCACGAGGCGACCAGCTGGAACCCGGCCGCCGCCGCCGTGCCGTCCACCTGAGCGCAATGGCAGGCACGTAACCACCACTGGGGACACTGGGGACCGGTCCCCTGTAACTTTTGGGTTACTGGGGACCGTCCCCAGTAAAACTGACGACCTCCTCAGTTTGCTTAAATAGTCAAATATTGTCTCTAGATCGACGTGAAGAGTAACTTATGTACTATTTAGTCAACGGAAGACAAAACTATGGGTGTTTTGTTTAGCCAGCGCCCGGGTGGGCCTCTCAGCCAGCTTCGCCGGGCTTTTTAGCTAGACCAGATTATATCGGAAAGTAAGCAAGCAAGCAAATTTTCACGAACTTTTTTCCCCATTCTGACAACTTTTCACAAATAGGCGCATAAGAAAGGGTTTTGTATCACAACTTTTGACTCAAAGCTTGTATGACGCTGATTTTACCGGGATCGCGTTTGTCTCGTCGAGACGCGTCGAATGAACTTACAAGTTGACCTGACAAGGTCAGCTTGAAAATTTGACCCCTGGTCAAGGTCACGGAAAAGGTCATGTTGCATGTCATTCGATTGGTATTGTTGAGCTGAACACATTCATGGCGTTTTCAGCGCTCTATCATGTTTCTACCTAACGTTATGATAAAAAATCGTGACCTGAGATGACCTCAGGGGCATATAAGGGTCACACACAGATGCAATTTTCCGGTTCAGTGTGTCATGTTTACCTGTGTAGGTAACGGTGTTTGAATGTGTTTTCGGCCAAAAGAAGAGCATTTCAATTTGAGGTCGCAAAATTGACCTGACATAGCTCACCGATGTGAAACTTGAATTGTTCATACTGATTTCCTGATGCAAAAGCTCGAGTTTTTAACTTCTGGGATGTAAACTGTAGGAATGACAGAGTCACAAAGTTTTTTTTTAGAGACATAGTTACTTTACCTGACCTGGTGACCTGACCTTAGGTAACCTGGGTCAAAATTTTCACACACGATGCGAAAATGAGCTATCATAAGCTATACCTACTAAGTTTCGCGGCGGTGCGCGCCGCGGTTTTCTTTACACGCGGAAAAAACTGGCAGGTGTGGCCGAAAATGTCCCCCTCTCCCCCTCCCCACTCGGACGAAGGCTGATCTTGAAATGTACCCCGCGTTCGATGTCTCTCGGACGACGAAGATTCTACGTCGTCCGGCCCATCCCGTCCAAGGTCAGAGGGGGCTCGGTTGCGGTTATGGAACGTGATTGGCCGGACGGCGTAGAATCTTCGCCGTCCGAGAGACATCGTACGCGGGGATAATATTTGGTCTTCGCGTCCCTCCATGTGGTCCCCAGTAACTTCAGACTTGTGGTTACGCGCCTGCGCAATGGCAGCAGAGGAGACGTCATCCGCGGCCGTGAGCGGGGAACACGGAGACACGGTGATCGCACTGATTCTCTGGCAAGTCATTGTCACTATCATTTCATCGCTAAACACATTCGAGACATCCCATTGAAGAGCCATCCGGGGCTCACCTGCGCAATGACAGGAACTTCCAGCTTCTGGAGACCGAGCATCAGCTCCGTGCAGGAGTCAAACACACACTGGTGGTGGTCGCGACCCTGTGCACTGGTCAACTCCTTCAGGTTGTGACCGGCAGAGAAGGCAGGGCCCTGACCGCTCAGCACTACCACCCGGGTGCTGGAGGACAGCTGATTCACATGCTCCTGGAGATCATGAGAATTGCAGAGGTTCATTCACTCAGAACAAATCATGGGAGGAATGGAATCTCTGGGCATTTTGTGTGAGTAATTCAATTTTTTCCTCATTCAGGATAGTTGATAGAAATTTTGAGATGTCGCTAGTCCTTACAGGATAATTGCTGAAAGGCAAATAGTATAAAATTTATAGCTGAAGCTTTGCAATGGAAACAATCTTCAAATAATCCAGCCTTGCTCTAATGCTGTAAAATGGTGGAAAGATAATCATACCAGCTTACCTGATACCTCTGACATTTAATGCATATAGCCACAGGAACTCATGAATTTGTTGCAAATTATGGAGGTTCGGAGCATATTTGTACTGATTAATTGCAATTATAATTTATAGGTAGGTACAGGGACAATATTGCCACACCTTTAGCTCACTCAGCATCTCCAGAGACAAAGCATTCCTGGTCTTGGGTGAAGTCATTGTGATATGTCTGACACCATCAGCATCATGCACTGAGGTTAGACTGCTGGCCAGCCGGCTAGAAGCCCAACTGAGGTTCCCGGGGCAGACTCTGGTCCTCAGCAGCATGGAACTCCATCTGCTGAACTGCTGAGGGAGAGCTGCCATGATATCTGGAATGCAAATGGTGCTGTCATTTATGCTCATCTTATTCATTCATCATCATGTCATTCAGGATGGAAATTCAAACATGGTCTTAAATTCGATGAAATAGCATTAAAATCGTATCCTAGATTCAAGGTGCTAGCAGATACAGGTGGCCGGTGGGTATACCTAGTTCAAGTTACCTCTACATCAGTGCCCAATATTGATATCAACAAAACTGAAGAGAAAGTTTGAGCAGTTAAATTTACAAATATTTCTGCAATTTGCACAAGAGGGCAGAGGGATAAATGCGGAACAATTTTGACAACACAAGTCACAGCATCGACATTTCAATTTGTTGGTTAACATTAGGCATGGAATCAAAGGAACAGTTTGATAATTTCGAATGATTAAATTCCAATTCAACAATACAAAAAGGTAACCGTACGTCAATCAAGGCCATCTATAGAAGGTACAGTCACTCCCCCGCCGACCAATCAGAGACAGATCCTGAGTGACGTCACCCCTGATGCTCGCAAGGGGTACTCCATTCCTTTGCAACGTAAAAATGACTAACTTCATTTGAAGATTATTGATGGCACTCTACACATATCGCTCAGCCGTTGATGTCAATGGAAAGCCCAACTAATTTTCCAGCGACAAAAAAGAGCAGCAATATGCTAAGAAATGGCTGTCAATCACTCGCGCTGTTTTTCGGGCCTTGCTGAATGCGCTTTTACGCAGCAGTGCCGACAGGAAGCAAAAAGTAAGTGCTTGATTCTTGTTCAAAAGCACTACTTGAAAATTTTTCTCTGCTTGCGAATCTAAAACGCAATGTAAAGGAACGCTGAAAAGGCTGGAGGGTCTTTCGTAGCAAGTGACATTGAACAAAATGTCTTGCTTGTTTATGTCTCTGTCGCGCAATCCTTGCCTCAAGACTTCCTTTCAAGTTTACACTAGCAATTTATTACTTCAAGCATCTGCTTATTGAGCGGCGTATTCCACACGGAAACAAACGTGTTTTGACCTCTGATTGCATTCATCATTTGAAAGAATGAGCTCAGCCTTCCATACAAACGTCGTCACTTCCCAATTTATTCCTGCCAGGCTGTAGGTCAATGTTCTTCGGAGCGTTCACGGATAAGCTATCTCGGGAAAACCGGGGTCAGAGATGCCACTGAACGGTCTTGGTGCCGCTCCGCTGGAGAGTCCGTCTGGAATGCATTAAAGGAGACAAAAAGACCGTGTCTCCCTCGCAGTGCGTCGCAAAACGCATCACAAATCTAGTGTGACCTGTTATAAGCTATAACTGTGTACGGGAGTTTTGTCTACAAGTTTATGATCTTCCTCCGGTTTAACTTCCCTGAACTAACGACGCCTTCTTAGCCAAAAAGCACACCAAGATCAGCCAGACAGGTAGTTCTCACAATTCGTAGTCGTCATCTCTGGTAGAACCGTCATCCATTCGCCCAATAACAGTCACGGTATCGCTGACACCTCACTTTAGCACATGTATTTTAGGGCTATTAGCGATCTGTACACAGAAATAACAGAAACCCAACACAGTAGAATCGCGTCATTGCTCTGTGGCGCAGACAGGTCTGGGCGCCACCGCTGCACGCGCAGCAACAACGTATCACACGGTCGACCGCGCCGGGGCGTCGCCGACACATCCTAGTCCATCGCCCGCGCTCGCTCGCTCTCATACAATAGCTGTCTGTCACGCGCTCGATTCTCGCTCGCTCGCTCGTTCGTCTCTCTCGCTCTCCTTGCACACTCGCGCGACAAGTCTCCTCAGGTGGCGCGTGGGGCGCGGCGCGCGCTGTCACCCATTCGCGGAGCAGCGTCGCGCCGGCGCGAGCGCGCGCTACGCCATTCGAGGAGACCAAGCACAGTCGAACTGTAAAATAACGCGGTGACGCGGGGCGCCCGCGTCAGCACCGAAAACAGATCTGAATGCGGCAGCGAGACGGCGGCCGCCGACGCCGGCTGCCATGGTCGCACCTGGTACTGATAAATAATCTACTAGTGTAAAAATCATCAAGACGGGCGGGCGTGTCTGCAGCTAGTCCGGCCGGCCGGCCGGCCGGGTGCCGCCCGCCGGCGCGGCGGTGAGGGTGACTCTGCGCGTGCGTGCGGGCCGGCTCAGCGGGCGGGGCGGCGGCGCGGCGGCGGCGGCGGCGGCTCGGCACGCGCCCCGCTGCACCAGCACTCGTCGGCCGGCTCCTGCACGGGTCAGAGACGCAGCTCGTTGGCCACCTTGCTGGCAATGTTCTTGAAGCCGATCGAGGTGCCCGAGATGCGTTTGAAGCGGACGCCGTTGAGCGAGAGGCGCGGCAGCTTGCAGACCTCAATCTCCCACTGGACCAGCGAGTCGGTGCGCGGGTCGCCGTGCACGCAGAGCAGCAGGAACTTCTCCCGCTGCTCGTAGTCACAGTTGTTGGCGTCCAGCACCTGCCGGAAACGACCATAGCATCGTCATACTGCAGTCCGCCGCCGTTCCACACTTTAAACGGGTTTACAGGACGAACTTAATCCATTCACACCGAATTGTTTGGATTTAAAAGCGGCAGTTCGGGTAACTTACAGATGACAATGCAATGTCGAATCAGCAGAAAAATCATGAAGTGGTTTAGTGAACATCCACCTTTTCTGTCTCCCCCATGATAAGCAAGCTGATTCGACTACAAGTGCATGATGTTAAACAGTTAAGTCCCTGCGAACGCACCTTTCTGATTTCGTTCATGATCTCGTGCGGGTCCCTGGATGAAGTGGTCTTCATGCTCCAGGTGAAGCGTAGACTGCGCGGTTTGACCGGCTCCGGCTCGCCATTGGAGGCGACTCCGAGTGACCCCGCGGGCGACGCTGCCGCCGGTGGCCTGGGACACGACGAGCCAGAGGTTAATTGGCGAGCGCAGGGGATATGGACGGGGGATCAGTAGGGGAAGGTAGCTCGCTACAATACACACGGCTTGGTTAGTGAGACGCCACGTCTGCGGGACGCAAAGACGAAATACAAGCGAAGTGTTATCAGTTACCAGCGACTCATAGACGCACAAAACGACGCCAAATTCCGTTACAAACACATACAAAACACAGGCGTTACACAGTGAAGATGGCTACACCAGCAAGCTCAAGCAAGTTTCATGAAGACTGGCCCTATCTGGAATCAAGCGAGTACACTGTGCAGCTGATCCCCATTGCTCATGCTCCGTCAGCAAAACCAGCAAAACTGTCGACGTGTCGACGCCTCGATCCCAAACCCGCTCTCGACTCCCATGACGTGGGACTTCTCACCACGTTCCTTATGCTGTCATTAATTGTTCCCATAGTCTGTTCTCACTCCCCTTTTGTTTCCGGTATGTGCAAGTCTGTTTTTGAACCCCAGTTCCTATCAAGTCAACATGCCGTGTGGGTGTCACTGAGAGTGCATTCAGTCAATGATATTCACTTAAAACTGCCATATATCGCCTGGATATAGGGTAGTCACATGAGCGTCAGCTGTAAACATGCTTCGGTGCAAGGGTAACCATACTGGTGCCGTAACCAGACTTGTAAACGACTCAAATTTTTTTTGAGTCGATTCTTTGTTTGAGTCTGGAAATTTGAATCGATTCATCAAACGACTCATGATGTTAAATTTAATTGATTCGAATCAACTCATGACTCATGAAGTTCCTCGATAAAATGATTCGAATCAACTCATGACTCGAGCAACTAGCCAACGGAATGATTCGAATCAACTCATGACTCACACATTTTGATGAATCGATTCAAATCAACTCATGACTCACACGACATTTTTATTGAACTTATTTCATTCAACCCATGACTCACTGTAGGCATTTGTTGATTATTTGACTCAAAGCTATGATAAAATGAATATGCCACATACCACAATTGTATTAAGCAGCATAGTAGCCTTGACCAAAGATTCAAGCAGCTACCTAGTAGGACTAGGTACATAGGTACCTACTTTGGCAAACATGGTTGATGCAGTTTCCAATTCCACATTTGAATTCTAATATTCCTGCAGATTGGGCTACCTATTCTGTAGCATACTGGTCACTGGTCAGTCTTGCTTCAATTTCTTATCTTGTCACCTACAACAAAGCAAACAAGTTCTAACTGCAAGCAGTCCAGAAAATACTTCAAATGTTTGTACACATCACTTCCATTCAGTTTGCTGTACACACCCAACAATATTTTGGGCTGTAGAAATCAAATACCAATAACATATGAGGTAAGTATGACTGAAATCCATTTATAATGGACACAAATCCAATTGAAGCAAGGCTGACCAGTTGCAAATCTTACCTGCCTTTTCAAAGACATTGACATACCAATTACCAAAGTCACTGTGCCCACCGGAAATCGCAGTTCATGTCTGATACCCATGGCCTTGGTTTGATATTTAAATGCATTTCATAACTCAATCAGCTTTGAAATTATTTCTATCTGTATGAAATGAATCTAAGGCATTCTCCAGAAGCCGTGGCCCGTGATATTGAACAGATTTTTAGCCAACTGGCGCCGCATGGTGGCGCTAGCAGAGCGTATAACACTAGCGCTCTACTAGCGCCATCATACGGCAACAGCTGGCAAATAACTGAGTCAATACCAATGCCATTCTCCAAGGCCAATGATTCCGTGTTGATTAGGGTGTATCGTCGAATTTTGATTTTTTTTAATCGTCTTCACTACTAAATTTTATTGGTCCCTGGCATGTTTGAAGCCGTAGGATACCAATCAAAAAAATCTGGGACGAAAACCTAGCCTGCTGCGAGCGGTTGAACGGAAGCCTGTCGGGGCGGCGCCAGGCGTTGAAGTCTCCCCGCTAGTTACGCGCACACTAGCACCACGCGGCGGCTGGCGCCGTGCCGCCGCGTTCCCGGTCAGCCGTGTTTTAGCGTTCACTGACGGGTCGAAGTGATTATTCTAAGCTTTCCTAAGAAGCTTTCTGCCCCGCAGCTCATTATTGAGCAAGAATATCGCACAAACTGCATAGAACATTGACATGCAGGTTGTCGGCACATATGGAGAAGGGGATGTTTTGGTTAATGCCTCCTTTAATAGGAAGAGATTGTGGAAGAAGGGGCATTCCACGTCAAGTGGGACAAAAAATGATCATTTTGAACCTCACCTCCTCCGATTTTTGCGAAACTTTGTGAAACTACTCATCTATATGTGAAAAGAAAGGAGACATATTTTTGTCAAAATATGACGTCACGTTTCCGAGATACACGTCATCAAACATTGACTTAGGCAAGGTACATTATCATCTTTAAAGCGTCATAACCATTGAAGTTTTAGACACATCACCACGAGACAAAGTGTGAAATGGAGGGAATAGGTCAGGCTTTAATTTGAGGATAACAATATTGACGTAATTAACTAATTAGTGAACTTAATTAAAATTCAAAAAATAAATTTTGATTTTCTGAAAAATGGGTACCCTTCGATTTTGCTGATTTTTACATATTTTATTCTCCTATACATTAGCTACATCATATAAAAAATCCAGAATGGGCCGACGTCTACGTAACTGTCTTTTGGACTTCGTAATGTCTGGCACTCGCGTGTTTCGTTTTAACAACCAAGGAGAGGCGCTACCCGGAGATGCTTCTTTCTACCCCAAACCAAAGCAAACCTTACCTGACCTGACGTGACCTGACCTAATCTAACACGCGTAAATATGTACAGCCCTCAAGGCAGTTGCCGACTGGCCAAATGCTACCTACATAGATACGAACATTAGCCCTCGCGACAGTTGCCGGCTGGCCAGATGCTACTTAAAAAACAAATGCGTGTTAAACACTTCAGGCTGACCCACTGCGAGCCAGCGACCTT